ATACGTTGATCTTCATAGACCAACCCTACATAAGTGCAACATCGCCACTTGCATCATCTCGAATTCCTCAATTCCATTAAGCCTGGCCGCTGAGTTTGCAAGTCCAGTATTGGGCAACTGCATGCCATTTTCGCCGGCTTCTTTGTTGCCGACGCACACCACGACCCAGCCCACACCCCAAATTTGGAAAAAGCAAACACCTTAGTCGCCGAAATGACCAAGCCGCAACACGAGTCACATGCCGACAAATAGTACGCTCAGTATTGGGTAGCTGCATGCCGCGTCTGCCCGTCCCTCCGTCGTCAACGCATACAACGCCGCCGCAAATTCAGTGGAAACGGAAGTTTGAGCCCTCGGAATGACCAACCCGTAACACTCGTTACACACCCTCAAATAAATGAACTACACTTCGAGGACAACACACTGCGGGGAGTAGCTTGGAGGATCTGGGGATGTGACCGCCCGCCATTCCAAACGATGGCGTCTCGGCTCTCCAACTGCACACCAATTTTGCAAAGCTTCAAAACTGGGAGCGCCACACATTAAAAAAACCCGAAAGCACCAATGTAAATGAACTGGACTGCCTGATGACCAAAAGCTGAGGAGAATGCGAACCATTCAGCACCCTGGTGCTTCCCTGTGGGCTGCAGCGACTACAGCAGTAACAGCAGAACATGCCCTCTGGCGGAAAGCTATAAACGCAGACTTTGACAGCAACTGTAGTAGCAACAGCACAACGTGCCCTCTGGCCGAGAGCTACATCTTTAGAAGAGTAAGTGAGCCACGCTTCGCGGCCAGCACAGAAAAAGGCTAAACGCAGACTTCAACAGACACAAGGAGCCAGAATGAAGCTTGCTTTCTGATACCTGCTGCAGCAAAGTGATCCTCGCCGTATGGAAGCTTCCAGCGAATCCTGCAGCTGCTCCAGGTGTTGAGGCGAAAGCAGAGAGTGGCATCCAGCAGAATAAGAATTGCTTCTTGAACTAAGGAAGTAGACAAACGAACTGTTGTACAGTGGTTGCTCGCTTCTGGTGCTCCTTGCTGCCTGCTGCTGCTTGCTGCTGTTCCTTGTTGCTGCTGCTCTTTGCTGCTGCGTGCTGTTGCTGCTTTTTGCTGCTACTTTTTGTTGCTGCGGCGTGGTTCTGCTCGGTGCTACTGTTTATTGTTGCTGCTCGTGGCTGCTTCTTGCTGGTGCTGCTTTGCCTTGCGGCCTGATGCTGTTGCTTCGTGCTGCTGCTTGGTGATTTTGCTTGGTACAACTGCTTGGTGCTACTGCTTGCTTCAAGATCCTGCTGCTCGGCACTTCTTCTTGCTGCTCCTGCACGCTGCTGCTGCTTGGTGGTGCTATCTGGTCCTGCCGCTTGCTGTTCCGGCTTGTTGCTAGCCTTCTTATTACTTTCACTTATTGCTGCTGCCGCTTGTCGGCGCGAAGTTAGAGTGAAAGGGACAGAAAATATCTGCACAGATATTGAGATAGGCGCATGTGACCGATACAGATATTGAGAAAGACGCATGCGAATTCATCTTAGAATAATATACACTCATAATATGGATAGCGGGAATAACAAACTTTTGCATGCAGTTGCATATAGGTAAATCAGTATTAATTAATCGTTACATATACAGATATGCAGATGAATGTCACCTCAGGACTGCCAGCTGATACGCAAAAGCGGCTCAGTGGCCTACCCCTGGGTAGTGCGGCGAGCACTGCGGAAGCAGCAAGTTAGCCTTCAGCTGCTGCAGCTGCTGCTGCATCTGCAGCAGTAGCTGATGGTTTCAATGACATCCAACGCAGTCGCAAGGGGCCGCAGGGCCCTGCTGCTGCATACTCACATATCACAGCTTTGCTGTGTCTTCCGCCAGTCGTTGCTGCTGCAGTTGCTGCTGCTGTGCTGTGACTACAGCAAATGCTTCTGCTGCTGCTGCTGCTGCCATTGCTGCTGCTGCTGGGACTCCGCTGCGAAGAGGTGAGGCGCTTTGGAGTTCTTCAGGCCGTCGGTGGCCTACTCATTTCCCGCACGATCTCAGAACCACCGACCCCACCACCCTCAGCTTCGTTCAGACCCAGGCCGTGAAGGCTGTGACACTCATGGGAACCATTGTTGGGGGCGCTGCTGCTGCTGCTGCTTCCCAAGCCAGAGAAGGGACCCAAAACAGCGGCGGGAAGCAGCAGCGGAGGCTTGCATCAGCAGCAAAGCCCGTCTTGAGGGCCCACGTGAGTCGCGGCGCAGCTGTCGCTGGGCCGGCAAGGAAGGCGGGCAGTCGCCTAAAACACTAGCACAACACTAAACCCTAAACCCTGTGACTAGGACTTGAACACCGAATTCTACAACGCACTATACCCTACAATAAAGCTCTAAACGCAAAACCCTCAACCCTCGGACTCGGCCAAATCCTACATTCTTCCTCACTGTTTTTTTTACCTGGTGCCCGAAACCGGGGAGCACTCAGACGCAGACAGAGCCTGCGTCTGTGTGCTCTTCAGCCTCATGGGCTTGACTCAGTGACACAAAAGGATTCTTTTGTGCTCGCCGAGAAGATCCAGAAGCCTCAGCACAGGCAGAAAGGCCAAAGACGCACAGGGCCAGTGGGACGTGAGGTGTACAGACACAGGAAACAGAGAAGACACCGCAGTCACTTTTCAGCCCGCCGCCATCCACAAAAAGGCACAAGGACTAAATTAGGTCTTTGGCCAGCCGGGAAAAGGTTTTAATGGTTTCTTTGCGCGGCCACTTTTGCAGCCATTAAAGCGAGGCTGGGATCTAGGGTTTTTATATTCCCAACGCGGCCCCCGGATGAACTAGAGTCCTAAGGGGGCCCACCCGAGTCACCTCCCAACCAGGTGCGTGGCTTCGGGCTTTGGAGCCCCCCAAGCAGGGTCCCCCAGGAACCCGTTGTTTGTCTTTAGGGGCCCCTGGGGTGCTTATAGGTCGAATATGAGTTTGAGCTCCTGAGGCGAGTGTGGAGGGGGTTGTGTGCATTCTGCAGCAGCTTTGCTGTAGAGCTCTGTGTACTTCGCCAGCAGCAGCCCCAAGGCAATGGCCCGGGTGCGGCGGCGGGCTGCCCCCTCGTTTATAGCAGCAAGGAGGGGCATGTCGAGGGCTTTTGGGGAGCCTAGAACTGCAGCAATGAACTGCTTGCATGCATCGCCAGTCCTGAGGGTGGGGCCGGCAGCAGCAGCAGCGGCAGCAGCAGAAGTGGCTGCAGCGGCTGCAGGAGGTGCCTCCTGCATGCAGCGACTCAAGCTGCTGCTGCCGTAGAGCCCCAAACCTAACAGGTTACCTAACTCTTCTGTCTTCTCTTCTATTAGCTGCGTCAGCAGTTGGCGCTGCTGCCGATGCACACGCATTGACACAGCCTCCTGCAGCACCAAGACCTGCTGTTGCAGCTGCTGCTGCTCCTGCAGCAGCTGCTGCTGCTGCTCCTGCAGGCTGGCGTCCCACATGAACGCCAAACTCTGCAGCTGCAGCGAGGCCCTCAAGCATGAAAACGAATTTATAAGAAAGACGCAGCTCGAGGCCTTGCCCATGAAGTGAGCCATTTGCAGACAGTAGTTGAGGCAGCGGGACACGTCGCGGCCTACCAGCGTCTCCAGGCGACTCACAGCGCGCGTCGGCTGCTGCTGCTGCTGCTGCTGGGGCTGCTGCTGGAACTGCTGCTGAGGCTGCTGCAGAGAAGAAAGAGAAGCTGCGTACGCTAACAGCAGGTCTTGCAGGCGCGAGGCAAAAGCCGTTAGAAACGGAGGCAAACTGCTGCGGGGTGGAGCCCCCTCTTCAGCGGCGGGGGCCCATTCTGCTGCTGCTGCTGCGGATAGCTGCGGCAGCAGCAGCGCCGAGGAGTCCCACTGGGTCTCGAGCCTGTCCAGCACCCTCGTTGAAAGATCCAACAAGAAACGCACCAGCAGCGGCTGCCGCTGTTGCTGCTGCTGCTGCTGATGCTGCTCTCTCTCAAGACGCTTTTGAGGAGAGTTCTGAACGGCAGCAGCGATTGCTTGCTCAGTAGCCGCTGCTGCTTGTTCTAGCAGCAAGCCTATTTTGAACGCTGTGATGCCGCAGCTGCTGGTGCTGGTGCTGCTGCTGTTTATGCTACTGTCGAGAACAGCAGCAAGCTGAGCAGCAAGGGGCCCGTGAAGAGCCTCAAGGGACCCTTCTAGCAAGGCTGCGGGGTTCAGCAGCTCCTGTAGCGTGGCTGCGCTGCTGCCAGCCTCAGTGGGGAGAGTTGCTGCGTCTGAAAGCGGCAGCCAACCCCGCACCTGCTGCTGCTGCTGCAGTTGCGGTTGTAGTTGCTGTTGCTGTTGCTGCTCTTGCTGCTGTTGCTGTTGCTGATTTACAAGTGGAAAATGGGACTCTGCAGCCTCGTCGCTTCTTTCACATACGTCTGAAGCGTCGGCAGAGAAGCTGTGTCTCTTTTCCTGTTGCTGCTGCTGCTGCTGCTTCTGGATTCCAAGTGCAGCAGCTCCCCCACGGGTATACAGCAGCTGCAGCAGGGAGACAAAGGCAGCGGCTTCTGCTGCTGCTGCACGCGGGACCCACCGCAGCGCCGCCGTGAGGGTCCTCGGCGCTTCCTTGCCTGCAGCAAACCTCATGGGCTCCCCCCAGGGGCCCTCCGCAAGGAGTTGCTGCTGCAGTTGTTGCTGCAGCAGCTGCCGCCGCAGACGCAGCAGCTGCTGCGGACACTGCAGCAGATAAGTGGGATGAGAGTGAAGGTCCGCTAAAGCTTCCCATAGGACCGCACACTGGTTGCTTGTCTCGCCGCTCTGTGCTGTTGCAGCTACTGTTGCTTCTGCTGCCGCCGCTGTTGCTGCTGCTGTTGTTGCTTCAGAACCGTGTTTCCAATTCTTTTGCAGCAGCTGCTGCTGCTGAAGCGAATATTGCTGCTGACCTGAGATGTCAAGGAGCACTTAGAATGCAGCCCCAACGGCATCTGTGTCTCTCGTTGGTGCTGCTGCTGTGGCAGCTGCTGCTTCCCCTGTTGCTGCTGCTGCAAGGTGCTGCAGCACCTGTTACTCCTGCTTGTGCCGTTATCGGGGCAATTTTTCCCCCCTTAAGCATTGCCATCTACAGCAATGGCACCATTGGCAGCAGTAGTGGCAGCAGCAGTAGCCTCAGCAGGAGTAGCAGTAACAGCAGCCAGCAGGGGTAGCAGCAGCAGTAGCTTGTCTGAACTCATTTCCCAGAAGACGAACTTTACGCCTGCAATTGCTTCCTAGGCGTAGAGTGCCCCTACAATGTTCACATGTTCACGGCTGCTTGCTGTCTTCTGTTTGTCCCTAATAGTAGGAACTAACTTTTGCACCTGCTGCTGAATGCCATGGCTCAGCTGCTGCATTCCTCATTATTTTTGAGCAAAGTTCAGCTGCTGGCGTTCGGTACTACCGTTGTTGCTATTGCTTCCTTGTCGCTGGTGCTCCTGCTGTCGCTGCTGCTGCAGCCACGATTGCTGCTGTATATCCCTTAAAAGCAGCGGCAGGTTTTGCCGAAAATAAGCCATCAACACATGATGTGCTTGCAAGACACCTGCGCCGCAAAAAATCCTGGGAAGTATTTAGCTAGCTACGCAGCGGTCGGACCAGGCTGCTGCTGTCGCGTCTGCAGGTCCCGCTGCTTCTCCTGTTTATCTCGCTTAGGCCTTCGTTCACTTCGGTTCCGGCACCATCCTCGTCCAAGTGGTCAACAGCTGCTGCTGCAGCTGCTGACGACACTGCAGTATCGCCTCTTGTGTATGTACATATGCTCAGTGGTCTCGCTGCTTTGTGCAAAAAGCCTAGCACACCTTTGGTAGAGACTGTCTCTTGGTCAAGAAAAGATGAAGGGAAAAAACAGGCTTTGGACGACAAGCCGTAGGAAAGTTTAGGCGTTACGCCCTCCACCACGATGGCAAGCGAACGTGTATCCGAGAGTACTAACGCTTAGGCTTTATTTTGGAATGCTCCATAGGTGTGGAATTGGGGTTTCGAGCATCATGATTATGGCTAGAAAGCTCGGGCTATTCAGAGTTCGCACATTCCATTGTTCAAATTCTGCCAAGCCTTATGCATAATGCAGGGAATGCTGCGCAAAGGAGCGACTGGGCTACGCTGGGGCGTTGCTTTCTGTGTTGGTTCGGTCGTAACTGCGATATCTGGCATCCAACAATAGAACCAAATCATTGCAGCGCAGTACCTGCGAAGATAGGCCGCTCAGCGACGGCACTGGATGTCTTGCTCGCATGTCAGTCTGTTCGCTCCTGGACGCACACATCCAGCGAGCTTCGCGCACACCCAGCAAGCAAGCAAGCACAAGGGCATAAAGGCACAGAGATGACAGAGTGGAATACACCAAGAACGCATTGGGGAGAACACATGCGAAGTTGCACACACATACACCCACCCAGAAAGCAAAGAGCGCACGAGGACAGGAACAGAGTTGACAGAGCTTAATACACGGAGAGCACATCAGGCATAACATATGGGAATCTGGGTAGCTCCGCACACCCACCAAGTAGCAACCAGCTGCTGCATCATTTGATGTAAGCGTGTAAATTGTTTCCGTAGTATGATTCTTAAACAGCCACCGTTGCACGCGTATTTCTGTGGGAAATGCTCCGCTCGTGAGAGTGCGGGGTCCCGTAATTAAGCCCATTGGTGAGCAATTCAGCAGGCACTTGACTTGCTACTGTGCTCTTGTCTTGGAATGTTGGCTGAAAGGCGCAAAGAAGCCAGGCCAGCATCCTCACTATCAACTAAATTTTCTAGCAGCGAGCATACGCAATCATCCCGCCTATCAGTGTCTCCATTTATGCATGTAATAGTTTAGTGCAGCACGCGACTTCACCTGCACACTTCCAGACTGAAAACGGCAAACGAGGACAGGGCACCCCTATCCGTTGCACCGCAACTGCAGCAAGTGCGGCAGTACCCCACAGCTAACGCAGCATTGCCCCAAATATACGCTTCGGAAGGTTAACTTCAACAGCCTTAGTCGCAACCAAAATACCGGAAAGCACAAACTCTCCCATTTCCACACCATTGAGGAGAACGAAGTGCTCCCCCGCAAACACTTCTATACACGTTTCGCCCATGCAAACCCTTATGATCTGGCATCATCAGCTAATTACTACAGTGTTTGTTTGAAACACTTTCTCGCATTTTAAGCTGTCCTGAACGTGGTATCGACACACAACCATTAACAACGGTGACTAAACGCTACACAATATGAATTTAACCCCCGCATCCACATCAATCTTGAGTCATTCCGCGCAAATACAGCGTCGACAAAATGGGACCTGCGCCAACTTGTTTAGTTGTCGCGGCTTTACTGTTGCCCTCCGCGTGAAGCGTGGGCGGCTCCACTGCAAAACACAGTATTGGCCGCACTACTGCCTGTGCACAAAATCATGTGGATACGTAGACTTCCTGCTGAAATTTTTGTTGATATTCGAGGCACAGAGACAGTCATGGTACCTGGAACCCGCCCTAGTGTTGAACACATACGTTGATCTTCATAGACCAACCCTACATAAGTGCAACATCGCCACTTGCATCATCTCGAATTCCTCAATTCCATTAAGCCTGGCCGCTGAGTTTGCAAGTCCAGTATTGGGCAACTGCATGCCATTTTCGCCGGCTTCTTTGTTGCCGACGCACACCACGACCCAGCCCACACCCCAAATTTGGAAAAAGCAAACACCTTAGTCGCCGAAATGACCAAGCCGCAACACGAGCCACATGCCGACAAATAGTACGCTCAGTATTGGGTAGCTGCATGCCGCGTCTGCCCGTCCCTCCGTCGTCAACGCATACAACGCCGCCGCAAATTCAGTGGAAACGGAAGTTTGAGCCCTCGGAATGACCAACCTGTAACACTCGTTACACACCCTCAAATAAATGAACTACACTTCGAGGACAACACACTGCGGGGAGTAGCTTGGAGGATCTGGGGATGTGACCGCCCGCCATTCCAAACGATGGCGTCTCGGCTCTCCAACTGCACACCAATTTTGCAAAGCTTCAAAACTGGGAGCGCCACACATTAAAAAAACCCGAAAGCACCAATGTAAATGAACTGGACTGCCTGATGACCAAAAGCTGAGGAGAATGCGAACCATTCAGCACCCTGGTGCTTCCCTGTGGGCTGGCCCTCACGATCCCCCAAGTGCTTGAGACGGGAATCGGCATCCGCAGCGAGACATTCTCGGGGAAAAGAAACAATTCAATACCTTATGAATTGTTCTATGAATACTTTGAGGATGCGTCACTGGCATTTGTTCGGGGAGGTGTACTGCGTCGCCAGCCCCAAACGGAGTTTGATTTTGGGGGTAAACCCAACCTCGTCAGTGCAAAAGCAGAATAAAAGCACAGGTGTGCAAAATTTTTTTCAAAAAGATTTTACTGAAGCCTTAATTCCTGGGGCAGGAGTAGGGCTTGGGCATTACAGATTGGCATACCTGAGTTCCGGGCTTGGGAGTCTCGAGACGTGGCTGTCGAAACGTGGCTGTTTCGCCGTTGAGTTGATTTAGGGTTGGGGTGTGTGGTGGGAAATCTTGGCCTTGTTAGTTTCTTCCACGTTGAGACATTGATTCCTAGAGCAAGAATAGGGCTGGGGCATTAGAAATTGGCGTACCTGAGTTCCCAGCTTGGCAGTCTCGAGGCTTAACTGTTGTGTCGTTGAGTTGGTTGGGGGTTGCGGTGTGTGGTGGGGAGTCCTGGTTTTGCAATTTCCTTCCACGCTTTTTCCCTAATGAGTGGTGGACTTTTGTCGCTTGAAATGATATAGAGTCAAGGAAAGAAGCAGTTGCTGGAGCGGGCGTTGGGCGTTGCATGGACGTGAAGAGTGTGGTGTCGGTCGGGCACTTCGCGGCGAAGAGGTTGAGAAGGGAGTGCTTTTGCGAGGCCTAGCTTTCTTGGAGGCAGAGAAGAGGGATTGTTGAGCATTGTGTGGTGTGGAAGGGCGAAAGACGGAGGGAGGAGTGGATATATCTTCTTCAGTGCGTAGTGAGGAGATTGTGGAGGGAGGGCGTTACTGGCGGGATTGATGGTGGAGGAAGAAGATATGTTTTGGTGTGAGGGGTCAACAGTTGAGAGTCGGCGGCGCATGGAAGCGAAGGAGGGGGAGATGAGGAACTTTTTTTCGAAACGGTTCCGGCAGCTGAGGAAGGGAGCGGTTGGTGTGTGTTACGCCAGTGGGACAGCTGGATGGCAAGAAAGGCGGTGGTCCGTCGTTTGTGACCAGTTGTGCGTGGCGAGCCTCCGCCGTCCTTTCTGGTGCAGAAGGAAGGGACAGGTTGTTCTCGTTGGTCAGGATGTGTGCTTCACCTGTTTGTCAGAGAAGCGTGTGCTGACCACGGGAGGACGGAGTTATGGAGTTTTGGGGGCCGTCGGCCGTGGAGGGCGGTGATCCTGGGTTATTAGGATGTAGAGGACCTGTGGAGAAGCGCCGCTCGTGGGTCTGTTGGTTGGAGAAGAGGGTTTGTGGGTGTTGTACTGGTGCGTTTTGCAGAAGAAATGATGTGGGGGAGCAAGACAGGGCATGACAGGACACGTTGTATAGGTTGTGCCTCCGCGTCTCCATTCTCAGTTTGGGAGGAGGGGTGGTGGGACAGCCTAGCAAGGTGTTTGCGTGCTGGTTGGAGGTTGTTTGCTTCTTCTTGTTTTGTCTGCGGTGGTATCAGTCGGCTGCACTGGATGCTTCGTAAAGGGTGCGGGGAGCACTGAGGATCAGGTGTTGCTGATGGGACAGCATTGCAGACTACGCGTGGAGCAAGCGGCCGTTCACTTTGGGGTGGTGAGTGTGTTGGTGAAGATGATTGGGCGGCTGAACCATACGCAGATGGTGTGCAGAGTTGCGCTTGCGTATATGGAAGCTGCGGCAATCAGGGTAGTCTCTTCTTGGCAGAATCATGTTTGGAAGAAGCCAAATGAAGGGTTAGAGGTAGGGCTGTGGGGCAGTAGTCACGCAGCGTGTGGCGACAGTGCTGCATGCAGCTTTGTTTGTCCTGTTCCTCTCATCCTCAGGCCATTGCCGTTTGGCTTTGGAAGAAAAGAACATGATATAGAGGCCCTCCGTCTGCTTTT